GACATGGTCGCGGGGGGGCGATCTAGAATGGTGAGCGGCGGGCCCCATACACCGCCGGCGTAATGACAGCAAAAGTTGATAGATCACACAATTGAATTTTCTCCCGTCAACCATCACGGCAGAGGCCAAAGTCTGAGCACCCTCAGCCCCCTCTTGGGGAAATTGGTCCGACATCCCCTAGCTCAGAGGCTACGAGTAGACACGCCAAAGATAGTCTTCCTATACGACAGGAACCATTTTCCGTCGCACTTAAATTGTCTTCTTGGCTTTTGGGTAGCGGATAGCGAGGCGCTTTTCCAAATTGGGACCTGATGCGACTGCCAGAACCCGACAATACGGTGCGGTAGCTGCCTTGGGTCGATCACCGAGCCTAACATACGGGCGCCGGATCTCTTAGCGTTCCCCAAAAAAGACATAGGCTCGTGATAGATCGATCTGGACAGCGCCAGACACGATCGCGACCTCATCCCCGTAATCGCCGTGTGGGTAAGTTCTGTAGTAGATCGGTCTGTCGGCTTGTTAGCGCACCATTGGTGATGTGGCGGCCATCGCGGCAGGAATGTACGATCTGGGCGTCCTGGTTGCGCGATAGCCACGACCGAGACCATGTCATTGGAAACTGAGCCCAGATCGTGCGATTGGTTTCGACAGGGAAGTGCCGGCGGGTAAAGTTCTGGCGTGATGCAATATTGTGCTCATGTCGGAATGGTGGATAGCTCAAGGCTTCAAAGAATGCTGGAACTAATGGCGGCGTACAGATACTGATTTGACAGGGCGGCTGACCGGGACACCACATACTCCGTACAGAGCAACTCTACTCCGTACTCCCCAGCAGGATCTGAGATGAGCTATACGATACCGTGGGCTGGTTCATCGAGCGGGGATTGGAGCTCGCCTGAATTAGTAGAATTGACTGCTAACACGAACATCGTCAAGCGGATGACTCGGCGTCATACGAGTACTTCGTGTCTTCCGCAACTCGTAACAAGCTACAGCTTAGATGACGATGCGCTTCACCGTCTCTTTACGAAACCTTCGATCTTGGGCAACAATGACAGTGACCGCTGAGGTCTGGATATCGATCTGGGCTACATACGCAACGGCAGTCCCAATCACAATGGGCATCGTAAATCTTGGAAGATCCAGGTCGGACGGCTTACCGGCGGTGCAGAAGCAAATGGCGGGGCTATGAGAACAATGCCCATGTCGCAGGAATTGCACTCCCTCGAGTCCTGTTTAGCCACGGAATGCCAGGAACGAGTACCCGAGATTTGAGACGAGACGTCAAAGCATCCTTCCTGCAGTTGATGATGAACGGAATGCAGCCAAGAAACACACCGCTCGGTGCCGACCACGATCATACCTTGCTCATTGATGCAGATGGCCACTTCATCTTTGTTCACCCCTCCATCCGGACTCAAACTGGCAACAACCGGAAGGAAAGCGCAGGGGTTTCCGATTTCCCCCACCAGACATGGATGATTCGGTTGGCTGCAGGGTACAATAATCGAAGCCTCACATGATCGACGTCCTATATTAGGATCGGAATAAGACTTTGGGAAATGAAAAAAACAAAAAGAAAGAAGGGTTGACTCCGGCTTTGTTTACAGGTTCCCACCCGTTGGGTCGCAATACTCCCTTCCGAACAGTCCGAATGGATATCGCGGTAGACACGACTTCGCTGACGGAGCTACGGAAGCAAATTGGCGCGTGATGCATGGAAGATGACGGGCTTTGTTACCGCGAACAACAGTCACCGCTACATCCCCAAGTCAAAACTCGTCGGGCCCTTTGGGTCGCGAATACCCTCGAAGATCCTTCGATGACCATCAACCATATTTGTAGCCAATAATCTCCCTTGATGAACATGCATGCATTGCGATCGATGCATTTCATGCATAGAAGGATTTGTCAGAATGCTGCCTGTCAAACCTGATTCTTGGATTGGACCATTGTCACGGTTACTCTTCGAATCGACTTGGGAGCGTTTGACCTAGGAGCTGTTTTGTTTGCTTTTCAAAAAGCAACACTACGATCTGGTTGCATCTTGTATGACTGACCGTTTGAAAACATCTTGAAGGGAGAGTTGCAGGTCGCAGAATCCCGCCAGTTGTATTTACAATGCGCTCACACCGTTTCTTGACTTCCCTCTATTGGCATATCCTGGCTAATGCACCCCTGAGAGGCTCAAGGCGTCGTGAGACTATGACGTTTCCTTATTATTTCCCTCTTTTCTGAAGTAGCATGTGTCTCACCGGCTTTTGACCCCTCATCGCGTGGCTCCAGATGAATTTTCTGTACATCATTTGAGAATGGAGTCGATTGCACATCTTTTCCACACGGGATTCAGTTCAAGGGTTCCACTTGTGGTTCCCAGCCCCTTGGGTCTCATGCAGTCCATTCTGCTGGGTTGGTACGAAGTACTTTACCGACTTTTCGACAATTATTCTTACAGAGTACTCTGTACGCATCGGGGAATACAATCAACCTGTATCTCCTACTACTTCGTACGGAGTACTCCGTGTTCCGTATGAAGTGCACATTACTCGTCTTGTCCCTGTCGTAAAATTGGGGTATTGATGGGAAATGTCAGCCCCATATGATCATATATGACGTTAATGGTAGTTAACTAGAGGGATAGGGGACATTGTTAACCCTCTGCGATCGACCAACGGCCAATAGATGGGGTTCGGGAGTGTCGGTGAATTTCTGACAAGCCCAGCTGATTCTTTGGGGTCTTCTCGAAGGTCTCAAAATTCGAAGAGTAAATTGGACCTAACCCCTACGAGTACTAGTAGTATATTCGATACGGTGTGTATGGAGCACAGAGTACCTTTGATGACAGGACGATCATCGGATCCTCAGTTCCATAGTTAGTCCCCGCCAGTCCGCGAATTTCAATAGCTTCTTTCGTTTGAACCGGTCTCCATCAGTACCAAGGTGGCGGGAGTGACATGCCGTGCTTAATTTTTGGGTTCTGGGGAGTCAAGGAGATTTATCCCTTTTTCCCCTCGAGCCAGAAGCTGAGGATGCAAAAGCCATCCGGCCCACTGGGTTGCTCGTTCAATATGACAATTTTTGCGTCGCGCAATTATTCGCCTATCGGGGAGACTTCAATGCCGACTAGATGGATCGGCCTGGGGCGTTTTTTTCCCCTCCAACGGTTTCGGCCAGTACTTCTGACCATCAAACAATAAGACAATGGTCCAATATTGCCTTCACATTAGGGTTTCCCCTAACACACCGTATCCCTCTCAATCTCTTGAAACTTGCTTTACCTCTGAAAAGCTGTTTTATATTTTTCCCATGTTTTGTCCATCGTTTGACCCAATCAGCCGGTGCACGAAGATCGCGGGAAAGGTACCAGAGTACTCCGTACCGGCTAAGTTTTCCTTGAATTCCGTTGAGTGGGGAGTAATACGGTATATTAATTCTGAAGTCTATGTTTTGACAAAGAGCATCTGTTTTTTCAGTTTAATTACATCAAGTCGCCTCTCTAGGTTCATACTAGTGCTACTCCGTACAGGTCTCGGGGAGACGGCAGACTCAAGAGTGCGAGATCTATCATCTCACTAAGGGACACTAAAACCACACCTCTGGGAAAATCAAAAATTAATTACTTTTTATTTTTTTTTAAAAAACGGATCAACCGTGCCTTACGCCATACATTGTAAGTTCGGGTGCAAGTAGATGTTAGCGCCATTCTAGGAGGCTAAGTGTAGGCCTAATGCTGTTCCCCGGCCCGGGGCCATAAAACTAAACAGGATTTGGTATGTATCAGCCTTTACCCTTTTTCGCTGGATCTGGGGGATGGATCTGTCGAATCATGAGGTACTAAAACCTTGGATCGATGTGATTTTGCTGGAATTTTGGATTTGTTTTCTCGGTCTATTTGTTTGTGATTTACAAGTATATGTCTTGGAAAGAAATCAAGGGTACGGGAGTCACGGAGTAGTCAGGAGTAAAAAAATCCCCAGTGCCACAAGAATGATCTGATCTGATTGATCTCTATGGAACAGAAAAAGAATACCGGAAAACAATTTGATAAAATCAAAACGTACGAGTACAAAATCAAGAATCATGATGTATTACATCCATTGGTTCCACCCCCTTTCCTTACTCTCTTCCGTCTCCCCCTACTCTTTTTTTTTTCTCCCACGGAACATGTCAGGTCTCCATGAATGGTCAGATCCATGATACACTCGATCCATAAATAATAAAACCCTTTTTTAAATAAAATAATTTTTTGAAAAAAGGATTTTCCTTTTAAAAAAAATAATAATTAAAAAAGAAAAAAAGACCCACTTCGTCTTTATCCTGAATGTTTGCTGCCAACTGCATCCTGTACAGCTGTGACCGAAATCTCTTGTGATGGTGAACGACGTTTTAGTTCGGCGCCTGATCATTTCTATAGACCTATCCACTGTCAATATCTCATTATAATAGCTTCCCCTTTCCCTCTGCTTGCTTCTTTTTTTTCTTTCTTCTTTTGGAAAGACAAGCTATACTTCCAATCTTCGACATCTTCAACATCTTCTCATACTTCCTTCTCTACAACCCCATTGGGATCCTTCATAGATCCCTCCATTCTTGAGCTTGTCAAGCCCTACGTCGATCGTGATATTTGTCTTCCATAAACTTCGTCCAATCTCCCTTGCAGGTGTCTCATACTCTCTTGAGGACCCGAAGATCTACCTTATCGGATCCCGATCATTCTTCCCAAAGGGGGAAGCAATGCTGAAGCCCTAAAACCAACCGACGGTCCTCCTTGCTCCAATTACATCCTCAAAATCACTACATTCTCTCCCTTTCGACTCGGGATTAACTCTGGGGAAATTAAGGAGACAAAAGCACCTTTTTAACCGGTACTTTGTTGCTCTCTTGTTATTTGGAAAAAAAACTGCCAAAACCTATCTGAAGGGAAGCGGGGCGTCTCAAAGCCTTGGAATCTCCTTCATTGTCCTCACTTGCAACTCGACTTTTCTCTTATTTTTTACACAATGTTTCAACGACCGGCTTGCTTACAGGGCCGACGCTCGCGCAATGGCGCGGGCGAGGACTACTCAGCCTTTCCCATTCGCCAACTCTTCGTCTTAGGTAAGTGGTACTTTTGCGCGCGAAGTATGAGAACCATATATAGGGTTCTCGCGAAATGCGCCAATATATTCCTTCACGGAGCTTTATTGATGACTGACAATGGTCTGCAGCACTCGTCCGGATCTGTGAGCCAATTGCTTTCATGTCAATTTTCCCATACGTGTATCACATGGTCGAATCATTCCATGTGACGGATAACGACCGCCAGATCGCGCTGTACGCCGGCATGATCACTTCGTCCTTCACTTTCGCTGAGTTCTCAGCGGGTATGTTCTGGGGCCGCATGAGTGATCGGATTGGCCGTAAGCCAGTGCTCATCATGGGCTTGGTGGGCACGGCCATCAGTATGGTGGTATTTGGATTCGCGCCCAACCTGGCGACAGCCATGATTGCGCGCGCTCTGGGCGGCATGTTGAACGGCAATATCGGAGTTCTCCAGACGACGGTTGCGGAGATCGTGACGAAGAAAGAGCACCAACCGCGAGCTTATTCGATCATGCCTTTCGTTTGGTGTCTGGGATCGATCATTGGACCGGCTATGGGCGGCGCTTTGGCCCAACCCTGCGACAACTACCCGGCCCTTTTCTCACGCAGCACGCTGTGGGATAAGTTCCCGTTCCTGCTGCCCAACCTGGTTTGCATCACCGTGCTTGTTTGCGGTATCTTCGTTGGATTCCTGTTCTTGGAGGAAACCCACCCGGAGATGAAGCACCGCCGTGACCCCGGAATCGAGCTGGGCCAGTGGTTGGTTAGCCTCGTCTGGGGCTCACGCGTACAGCTTCCCGATGATTCCGTTGACGAGAAGTACTTCGATGCGCCGCCTCAATACGAAAGCGCCGAATCTTCGCCCTGCCTGCGTCCCGTTGACGTCTCTCCGGCTGATTGCGACTTGGAGGGGCAGAAGAGCCCCGCGCCCAAGGCATTTACCCGACAAGTCATCTTTGCTATTGTTGCTTACGGGATCCTTGCATAGTGAGTTGGCGCCGCATCCCCGCCTCGATCCTGAATAAATTTACTGACATGCATCCTCTCTCACAGCCACAGCGTATCATTCGATCAGCTGATGCCTGTTTTCTTGAGCACCCCTCGATCCGATGACGACGTGGTGCTACCCCTCAAGTTTACCGGTGGCCTTGGGTTGGCCACGAAAACTATCGGGTTTATGCTCGCTGTTCAGGGCGTGTATTCCATGATCGCCCAACTGTGGCTGTTCCCATTTGTCGTCAAGCACTTTGGCACTCTACGCACCTTCCGCTTCGTCCTGCTCGCCTGGCCCCCTCTCTACCTCGCTGTTCCTTACCTCGTTCTTCTTCCGGCCAAGCTTCAGATGCTCGCTGCCTACGTGTCCCTGATCAGCAAGATTACCTTCCATGTCATCGCTTTCCCGGCCACGGCCATCATCCTCGCCAACGCTGCCCCATCTTCCAAGGTCCTGGGCTCTATCAACGGCGCCGCCGCCTCAACCGCCAGTCTCAGCCGAGCCTTCGGTCCCACTATCACTGGTTTACTCCACTCGAGGGGTCTCGAGAGCGGATACTCCGTGATTGCCTGGTGGGCATGCGGTCTTGTCTGCCTGATCGGAGCTATCCAGAGCTTCTGGATGGAGGAGTCATCCGAGCCTGAGCGTTTCAAGACCAGCCAGCCCGACGTCAATGAATCCGAGCGAAAGTGTGAAGTCATTCCGGAGTTCAACCGACAACCCGAGGAGATGCCCGAGGAAGAGCAGCGCCTCCTCTCCTTGCGCTCTAGCGTGGACCACGACTTCGACATTTCACAGCTCAATCTCAATGCTGAAACACCCCCTCAGTCCGAGAGCCATGTCCCGCACGATACCAAGGCCTAATTCGAGGCATTTTCGCGCCTCATCATTCCATTTGATTTCTCCGCTCTTCTGGAAGGGCATTACATTCTGAGTGGTCCTGACCAGGCTACTGTGGATTTTCCTTTCTTCTTTTTGTTTGCTCTCTTATGATACCTCATTTTGTTCTATTTTGCTTTTGGTCTTTCTATTTTCATTCTCATGACTCCTCTCTTGAGACCGGGCGACGGCGCAATTATAGATGGTTGCATTGCATATGCAAAAGCATAAAACTAGGGTCTTTTCTTTTTTTTCTGTTTTCGTTTTTATCATCTTCATGGATCATCGACAGGTTTATGACTATACTCACGTGCATCTGGGAGGCTATTCGTGTTTTTTTTCTCTCTTTGGTTACTCGACCACGCGAAGATCGAGGTAGAGTCTTTTGCTCAATATCAACAATATTTCTGATACATCTGCCTCTTCGTAGCTTTCAATACTTCCGTCACGTACTTCCCCGGGCCCTCCAAGCTTCCCCCCACACACGTGTTGATCCCTCATGCAACCCCCACTTCGTATACAGCTGCGACGAAGTACAAGTACTCTAACTAGTTAGCTACACGAAGCATACAGAGGAGAGCTCTCTGCCAAATATCCTGACAGCGGGAGTGGAGATGGTCCACCTCGTGAAGCCCGGCACTTGAAAGTCTGGGGAACCGAACGGACTTCCCGAGGGCAACTTAAATCTGGAGAACACTATACAAATGATCTTCACTTCTAATTATATTTTCGAACTATTGCCACAGTCCAATCACGGAGGTTACTTGTGGTCCGGGTTGGCGGACTTTGCGCGGAGAGAGATTGGGGCTCATTTCGGCTGTGGACTAATTTCCCTTCGAAGTGCCGAGCCCGCAACTGTCCTACACTACCTGAAGACATTCGGATCATGAATGTTAGGTTGATGCAAGTCACGCAGTCACCGACCTTCGTCTTCGCACAGAAATGATCGCGAGCCTGTGGCCCTCAGGTTCAAAGAATGCCTAATACCCCCTCACCGGTCGTCTCTTCGGGCAAGAAGAGACAACACCCTTCCAGCGACACTTCACCAACACAATCGGACTCTGTGAATCCATCGCGCGACGCACCAAACCCGGCAGCTGTGTCCTCCGGCTCGCCCGCTCGTTCCTCCGCCACCGCTTCCTCCACCGCGTCCTCCGCATTCCGCAATGTCTCCGCCTGTAATCGCTGTCGACTGCGCAAGAACCGCTGCGATCAGCGTCTCCCGCGCTGCCAGACCTGTGAAAAGGCCGGGGTGCGCTGTGTAGGATACGATCCCATTACGAAGCGGGAGATTCCCCGCAGCTACGTGTATTTTCTGGAAACGCGGGTAGCGCACCTCGAGAAGCAGTTGGCGGATAACAACATTGAATTTAAAAAGGTCGTCCCCTTTGACGAAGAGGAGGCAATCAAAGTTGAGACTGAGGGTGACCCCGCGCAAGCCCAGTCCAGCTCCGACGGTCCTGCCCGAGATGTCTCCGTGGCGGAAAAGGCACTATGGAAGAATACCACAAATCAGGAGACTGGTCAATCAGAGACGAGAGAAGGAGATGTGAATCGCGATACGGAAGGCAATCCCAATGAGGATAATTGGCGTCTGCACAATTTGGTTTCGAATATCGGTATGGTCTCTGTGCAGGGGACCTCCGATCCGCGCTATCTCGGCTCGACATCAGGCATCTCGTTTGCTCGCGTGGTTTTCGCTGCGGTCAGGAGCTCGCTCCCTGGTAACATGCCGGAGCGAGCTTCGATCCGACCTAGCGATCGACTGCCGCAGAGCTCTGCGGCTGGTACTACCGGTGGTAGTATGCGCGATTCCTTCTTTGGGCTGCAAACAAAGCCGATGATGAAGCGTGCCGGATTCCCAGATCGAGAGCTTGCTGAGCGACTGGTTGAGCTCTATTTTGAACATGCGAATCCGCAGATGCCGATTCTCCACCGGGGCGATTTCATGGAATTGTTGGACCGCACATATTCGCTGGAAGAGAAGAATCGTTCGCCCCGCGCGCTCTATGTACTTAATATCGTGTGCGCCATTGGCGCTGGAATTATCTTTGACGATAAACCCCAAAGTTCAGATGATGAGAACAGGGGGACTCGGGGCCGGTCCTCGTCTGGGGCGAAGAGGCCGAGACTCTCGAGTCATCAGTATCAACCGGAAGAATATCACGCGTCGGCGATTGTTCATCTGGAGTCTTTCCTTGGGTCTTCCTCCAGTGAGGGCTTTGGTGGCTTGGAAGAGCTGCAGGCAGTGCTCCTTCTAGCCAGCTTCGCCCTACTCCGACCCGTTGCGCCGGGTCTCTGGTATATTGTCGGTGTCGCCATGCGACTAGCAGTTGATCTTGGACTCCATTATGAGGATGGAGTTGGCATTGACTCGGCGGCGAAAGACGGCAACCAAGCACAGTCGCGGATCGATGCTCGCGAACGAGGACGCCGCGAATGGGTGCGGGATTTACGCCGTCGCCTGTGGTGGTGCGTCTACAGCTTCGATCGTCTGGTTGCTACTTGCGTCGGACGACCCTTCGGTATTAGCGACCAGGCGATCAGCACTGAGTTCCCTTCCATGATGGACGATAAATTCATAACCAAGTCCGGTCTGCTCACACCACCAGACGCAACGCCAACATACAAACATGTTGCTATGCATTATTTCAAACTCCGTCTCCTGCAATCGGAGATACACGATGTCCTACAATACCAGCAAGTTCGCGCCGTGCGGAGAAGGGCCTCCGGCGCAACAATCCTGCCTCATGCTGAACTTTCCTCCTCTTTCCTTCAGGGCTTTGACTCTTTCCGTTCGTGGCGCCATGACGTGCATCGCCGATTGGTCGAGTGGCAAGACACTGCCCCGACACGCGCGGAAACGGGCGTGCGATTCTCTATCGAACTACTTGAGTTGAATTATTGGCAGGCTATTATCTTACTGTACCAGCAGAGCTTGACGGTTCCTGCTGAACTGGCTGGGGAACTTACCCCAGCAGATGACGTCTCCAGTCCATCTTTCTCAAATCCCGATGAAGGTGACGAGGAAGATCATGTCTATCTGAATGTCGCCGAGGCTGGCCAAAAGGTCATTCGAATCTATCGTCAATTGCATAGAGTGCGATTGGTGAACTATACTTATCTTGCTACGCATCATATATTCATGGCCGGTATGAATATTTTCTGGATAGGAGGTGCTTCCTTACTGACATTCTCCAGGAATTTCGTTCTTATATGCAATCTGGCATTCGCCTCTGGTTCGAAGTCGTTTGGTATGCCTTGGTAAATCAAGTACATATATGCTGTCTTTCTCACATGTTCTTCTTTTAGACACTTGACGAGGTAGACTTCACGGTCCTCGCTGCCACTTCCGTGTTGGGTGATTTGATGCACAAATGCCCACCTGCCGAGGCTTGCCGTGACGCATTTGAGCGCATGAGCAAGGCTACCGTGCAAATGTGTCTATCGACCACCGGCTTCGGCTCACAAGTTGACATGAGCCGTATCCATGCTACAACGCAGGCGTACAATCAATTCGATCCGAGCCGGACACGACAATCTACCAACCAACAGAACCGCACAGGACAAAGCCAAGCCAGACGAGCACCCCAGACACGCTCATCTCGCCCAGTCCCCAGGTTTGATATGAACCTGGGCGATCTATTCACCGACAACGCCCCCATGACCGATCGCTCACGACCAGAGGGTAGACCCAGAGCGCCATCCTATCATCAAACCGAAGCGATGGCTCACAACTTCCCTGATCAACCCCGGTCATATGGACAGCAGAATCCATCTATGGAGTTCTACCCTAAATACGACACCCAGGGCTCTCCCCAACCTCATCCGCAATTTTACTATTCCAATTCACCGCAGCGCAGTGGCTCTCCAGGTAGTCATACTCATGGCTTGACACATACCGACCCAGAAGCTCAACCAATCAGTCTAGACTTCTTAGACTTTGGATCTGGCGATGCAGAAAACCAGGGTAATATGGAGGGCGAAGCAAATCCTGACTACAACATGATGCCAGCGCCGTTGGGCAATAATTTAGGCCAGAATGTGGGGATTGATCTTGGATTTGGAATGGCCATGGACTTCCAGCATGACTGGAGTGAGAATCCCAATTACGATCTTTTGGAGGGTTATTTCTTTGGGGGCTCTGGGGCTGGCGCTACCGGTGCAGATCCTTAGGAGGATTACCTCTTGTTTCGTCTTTGATCTACGGTGGATTCGCGTTGATCTTAATCCCTGTCATCTCTTACTGCTTTCATATCTCTTCAGGCGGGGAGAATGCGTGGTCTCGGGGGTCTCTGTACGATTTGGTCTGTAATTTCTGCGTTTTTCATTTTCCTTTCTTTTTTAGTATTATTATATACCAGCTATATACCTATATTCCAGCATATAAAGGATTTGAGAGAAATCAATTGAATGTAGTATAATGTACCTAGGTAGTATAGTTAGAGTGTCGCCCTTGTAGTGTGGTTTGCCTTGGGCAGCAACGGCCAAAACAAACACTGCCGCCTTTTTTTTCTCCGCCAACTCAACCTTCAATGCCCAAGTGTTCGCGGCTCTTACCGCTAGGCTTCTAGACTCTGCGCTTGGACCTGACTTGGACCTGACTGCCTGACTTCGACATCAGGTGCCCACTCCGACTTTCGATCCCTCCCCGCTTCGATTCTTCCTCAGACTATGGACATTTACGAACAGGATCAACCCCATACTTCCCTGTCCGAGCTTTGATTAGCGCCATCCGAGACCCTGCAGCCCTCCGAAACCGCGGAACACAGGAGGCTCTGTGCTTTCTTGACCTTGGTCTCACTCTCGCTTTTTCTGTTGCATGCCACGAGACGGCGGTGACCTTTCAAGGCGGGTGGGATACAGCCCCCAAGCCCTTTCGCTTGCTTACACCGATTCGAAAAGCTTTGCTCTTGTGCAACGTGCTTTGAGCAAAACCCTTGTCTGTACCATTTTTCCTGAACATGCGTGAAACCGCCGACATCCAACCCCAACACCGATAATGAGACTTGAACTCGATACAACTGCATAGTACTTGGAAACATCAGGGTCAATATGGTCAAATCAGACGTCCGGAAGGACTACTATGCGGACCTGGGGCTGCAGCCCAGCGCAGAAGCCGAGGACATCAAGCGACAATTCAGGAAACTAGGTGAGCTTTGATGGGGCTCATGGCTGGTTTATCCCGAGTAAATCGCTTACCAATGACATAGCTCTCAAATACCACCCAGACAGAAACCCCGGACGAGAGATCGAATTCAACGCCAAGTTCCAAGCCATCCAAGCCGCCAACGAAATCCTCAGTGACCCTCGTCAAAGACTCAAGTACGACACCGATCGTCTGCGTGCAGGCTACGGCAAGAATTACGGACCGGCTAGGGCAAATACTCAGCGCAAGACACAAACACCCGCCTACCCTCCCCGACCCACTGCCACTCCCACGCCATCGGCTGGCGCACAATATACCAAAACACCACCGAATGGTCCCTCGGCTGGCGCACGACGATATGCGTCCCATGCGCGCGCCGGCCCGCAGCAATGGAAGCCCCAGGATAATGCGCAAACAAGGGCAGATGCCTTCAAAGGATTCAGCAATATGAGGGGAGGCCAGTCAAATGGATGGCAGGGCTTTGATCCTTCTACTGGTCGAGCTTCAGCTAGCACACCCGGGCCAGGGGCCCAGCGTCAACCATTCGGGGCTTCGGCACAGTCCAATAGGCCGAAGTCAGCCTTCGAGACCTTCCAAAATGCCCATTCTCATGCGCAGTCGCAAAGCACTAAGAAGAAGCAAGGCTTCGCGCCAGGCGCCGCTGGAGGAGACGAGCCCATGGCCCGCAATACATCCGCCTACAGCAGCAACAGTCGGGCTGAACGACCAAGCAGCCAATACTACGAGCCTGCTCCGCCACCAACTGCGAAGAAAGCACCTGAACCCGAGCCGGTCCGGCATTCATACACGCCAGACTTTGAACGACACAGTAGAAGCTACGCTCAGGCTGGTAAGGGTGAGAAGACTTTCTTTTCAAGTGCTGGATTAGGTCGTTCCCAGACCATGCGAGACCCCTCAGGAACAACCCGCACGAATGTGAACACTAATACCTCGAGTCCCAAATCCGCTCGATCTGGAAGGCATCGGAGTGCCAGCCCCAAAGCCAGACGAAACCCAAATAACTACGACTCTACCAGCTCAAGTGAATCCGAGGACTTGCCTAAGCCAAAGGCAAAGGCCGTGCCAAAGAGCCGGCTCAGACCACACCAAAACTTTGCCGACTTCCATCGCCAGCAAAACCAAAGCCCAAAAAATGGTAGGCGTCCCCCGTGTTGTTGTCATCTGCCTCCCGGCTCTCAATTTCGCTGGAACGTATCCCAAGATGCGACAAAGGTCACCGTAACCCTGGTTTCCATGCAATCCCCGCAGCAACGTGAACACTTTCTGAGCCTTCTCAATACAGCCCATCTCAAAAACAAGAAAGCTGACGCAAACCCCAAAGGACACGCCTCCGATAGTGCAGCATTCCCAAAGGCCTCTTATCAGCAGAGCAAGTACCCTAATTCGTCAGGATCTTCCTCTTCTATCAAGTAAGTATTCCGATATCTCTAGACCTCTTCCCGACTAATTGATTTTGTTTAGTGCTGAAACGGGAATTTCTCCTGAACGACCTGAACGACCACACACAACAGCCTTTGGTCGTAACAGCACGAGTGACTTGCACAAGAAGTTTTCCGCAGAGGATTGGCGCAAACACATAGAGCAATTTGACTTCATCGGCTCTGCTTCGCCGAGCAAGGAAAACCCTCCTTCCAAGTCGCCCGGGCCACAAAGTCGAGGACGAGCAGGCCAGCGAAACCAAAACCCGCCCCCGACATATAACCAGGGTACAACACCACCGCAACAACCTTCTAATGGCTCTCAAACTCCACAAAAACCTACGCCCTTTGCGCAAGCCAAGTTCTCTGCAGATTCATGGTCTGAGCAGCTTCGAAATCTATCTTGGACAGCTCCAGAGGCCGAAAAGGCCTGCCAAACTGCGAACTCCGCACCACCTCGGAGTCCTAAAAAGCAGCCCAGAGCGGGCACTAAGGTGCGGAGCGCTCCACAGACCGCAAGTGTTGCAAGTGAAGCGGATGAGGCCAAAGACACAATCAATGGACACACACCTCATGTTCCTCCGGCTACGGCAGCGCCTGACGTTGGAGTCGAGGAGATGGACATCGATGACGACTTGCCTGCTCCTAAACATACGCCACCTGTTCCGGGCAAGGTTCCACTTGGCAGACCAAGCAGTGGAAACTTTTCCGACGCAGCTTCTCATCCCTTGCCAGAATCACCAGCCAAGAAACCCAGACCTCCTCCCCCAACCGAGAAAACCACCCCTATCTCACCACTACGTCCGGCTCTTTTCAACCTTGGCAACCTCCGCAACGCCGCCCCATTCGCCAGCACCACCAACGGAGGCATCGAGAACCTCGGAGACATCCATACAACCCTTCCATTCGACTCCCAAGCCAAACAACAAACCACCACACAACGCGACATTCAGCCTCGCGATCTCGACCTCCCCAACCCACCCAAACGGCCCTGGGCTCCCAAACCCATCTCAATCTCAGGATCCACCCCCGTTTTACCCCGCGAAAAATGGATCTGGTATGCATCTGCCATGGGAGCATACATGCACGAATGGAACGCCTTTAACCGCCGCATGCTCGTACATCTCAACGTGCGTCAAGAAGCAAACGAAACAGGCCTCGCGCCTGGCTGGATCAGCGCCGTCAGCGACTCCGTTCGTTTGAAGATAGGCGTTGATGACGAAAATGGCAATGACAAAACCATCCGAGAGGATAGCTATGACGCCGACGAGTTCCTCATTCCAGGCTCTAACAAGGGCGGGTTCAGTGCGTATCTTCGTGGTGTTGAAGAAGATATCATTGTACGGAAACATTGGGACGTCGCTTCTGAGATGCATCGTGAATGCATTCTCGATCTTGGTCGTCTGAGGGAATGGATCCGGAATGGAGGAAAGGTTGTTTAAGCTCATCGGCAGTGTCATTTTAATCTTAATCGGTCTTGTTTCCTTCCTTTGTGGCTTGTTTGCTGAGGCAGGGCGGCCGGTACATCTGGATCATTTTGGTCTGGCGTTTTGCATGGATCAGGCGGATTATTTGGCTTGTGGGGATCTGATGACCTTTTCCCGGTGCGGTGGGCTGTTCCCTTGCCAATTCTGTTTGCCTTGTTCTTTAGTTCATGGTGCATACTTGGGTTGGTGTTTTTCGTTTTTTTTTTCGTTTTTGACTGGTGAATACCCAGGGCTTTCGTCGCATTTTCATAGAGACATACAGTCATTTATCAGACTCTGGCTCTTATTCGTGTTTCTCGGGAGATTCTTTAGTTGCTCGATTGTATATCGAGCATTGTAGACGTTATGTTTCGCTTTTGGGGCTCTGCAGGGCTTGGAATTGGAAGCTACCTCGATTGGGAACTTTGATTTCCGATGTTCTTATCTCGAATAGATACATATTCTATGGAACTTGGAAGAAAGAAGAATATCCCTTGATAGAATAGCCCAAATAGTTCAACACTACATCGTACTATACTTCGTCTCTGCTCAGACCCGCGTAAACGTATAGCCCGTACCCTAATTACCCAGTTGGTGTTGGATGTGGCAGCCATAATAATCAGGCATAAACTAGAGCCCCAGGCTGTCAGGCTCTAAGGCTCTAAGGCATCAACACTAGAAGCCCCGCCACCCCGCCTCCGTGACAGGATGGGAATCATGTTCAAGGAAGCCGTGGAGATATTGTGACTCACAGCCCTATATACAGGTGTGAACAACAAAGATTGTACATATCAACAAAACTGCACAAACTGCATTTCAGGAGACGCGTGATCAGCCCCCAGAAAATTCACCGGCAAACCTGATCTTGGCCCCGCTATCGGCTCCAGACATATTCTCTTTTACTACTCTCGGACCCCACCATCCAAACCAATTGTTCACGAAACTACCGAAATCGACCTTTGTACCTGAGACGACTACATTGTCGAGTTAGCAATCATGGTTTCTATCGTTCTAGGAAGTCAATGGGGAGATGAAGGTACCGGAACAAGCCCCGGACACCCGGAGACATGGAGAACGTCGCGCTGACCCTATGACTAGGAAAGGGCAAGATCACAGACATGCTGTCGCAGCAGGCGACTCTCTGCTGTCGTGCAGCAGGTGGACACAGTACGTGAGGATCTGACTTGCTGCAACATTCCCAGCAAGTTTCGAACTAGACCGAAGGACCCTGACTGACCAACTCGTCTTTTTCAATTGGATACAGATGCCGGCCACACCATTGTCCACGAGAACGTCACCTACGACTTCCACATCCTGCCCTCCGGTCTGGTTTCCCCCAAATGCATCAACCTCATCGGTGCCGGCACCGTCTTCCACGTCCCCAGCTTCTTCAAGGAGCTGGCCGCCATCGAGTCCAAGGGCTTGAAGGGCGCTGCCCAGCGCATCTTTGTCTCGGACCGTGCGCACGTCTGCTTTGACCTCCACTCTGTCGTCGATGGTCTTGAGGAGCAGGGTCTTGGTGGTCGCAAGGTTGGCACTACCGGTAAGGGTATTGGACCCTGCTACAGCGACAAGGCCGCACGCCGTGGTGTGCGCGTCGGTGAGATCTTGGACGAGGTCACTTTTGAGCGCAAGCTGCGCACCCTGGACACTGCCTACCGCACACGCTATGGAGACATCGCCTACGATGTCGAGGAGGAAATTGCCCGTTTCAAGGTATGAGTCATGAATCTTCATGTTCGAGAAAAGACCAACCATCCGTGCAAGAAACACTCACAAACGGGTGTCTTGAATTATATTCATATTGCAATCCCATACTGACATTATATTAGGAATACCGCAACCTCCTCAAGCCCCACATCGTCGACCAGCTCGAGTTCCTGCAGGAGCACCAGAACTCCCCCAACACATTGGTCGAAGGCGCCAACGCCCTGATGCTCGACCTCGACCACGGCACATACCCCTTCGTCACCTCATCATCAACAGGTCTCGGAGGAGCCGTGCAAGCGCTCGCCCTGAACCCCTCAAGCATCAAGAACGTCATCGGAGTCGTGAAGGCCTACACTACACGCGTGGGCTCCGGTCCCTTCCCCAGCGAGCAGCTCAACGCCGACGGCGAGAAGCTGCAGCAAGTTGGTCGCGAGTTCGGCGTGACTACCGGTCGTCGCCGTCGTTGCGGATGGTTGGACCTTGTGCTGTGCCGCTACTCGCACGCCATCAACCACTACACTGCTCTGAACTTGACTAAGCTTGATGTTCTTGATGACTTTGATGAGATCAAGGTCGGCGTTGCTTACAAGCTGCCCTGTGGAAAGCGTACTACTGGTACTTTCCCTGCTGACCCTAATGTTGTGGAGAAGATTGAGGTTGAGTACGTTACTCTGCCTGGCTGGAAGTCTAACACCATGGGTGCTAAGCGTTATGAGGATCTGCCTCCTAACGCTAAGGCCTACATTGAGTTCATTGAACGTGAGCTTGGTGGTGTTCCTGTCAAGTGGATTGGTACTGGTCCTGCCCGTGAGGACATGATCGCTCGCGATTAAGCTGTTTTGTTTTGTTTGATACATGACTAGGTGATTTTACGAGTATGTGGCTGTTCGTTTCATATTGCGATCTACTCGAGGTATGTGATATAAGATTCTCTTGTCCCATACTCAACAATTTAGATGTCTCCAAAAATGGATTTGGTTTAGAGGTTGTTACCCGCAGTTACATGAAGAGATGCCCTTGAACTAGATATACAGTATAATGGTATATAGTACATAGAAAGATGGGTTGTCAAGTCAATTAAAATTGAGTGCTAAAAAGTATCATGGCAGGTGATTGAATAATATTGTACATGGAATCAGAAGCATCAGAACTTCGTAGCCAAAATGACATCTTGCAAAACAGTCGTAGAGTATAAGACAAGGAGGAGAGAAAGTCTAGATTAAAAAACAAATCACCCATACCGAGGGCGTATAGTACACATGCCAAAAAGAGACGGGAGAACGCCGAGACCAATGCGAAAGCGGTTCCTTCGGTTTTTTTTTTTTTGTTTTCACTTGTGGTCACTCCACGGTCAGAGGAAAGGAACTCTGCGCGTGATGCGAGGACCAAAAGCGCTCAGACTTGCTAGGTTATCGAGCAAGTACCGAGACTCCAAGCTGAGTCGCTTAGAAGCGGAAAGAGTCGCCAAAGTCTCCGTCGAGAGCACGGCGAGGGCCACGAGAGAAGCCGCCACGGTCACCACGGTCACCACGAGAGAATCCACCACGGTCACCACGGGAGAAGCCACCGCGGTCGCCGCGATCACCGCGGGAGAAACCGCCACGGTCACCACGGTCACCACGAGAGAATCCACCACGGTCACCACGGTCACGAGAGAAGCCGCCAAAGCCGCCACGGTCACCACGGTCGCCGAAGCCTTGGCCATCACGGGGGGCTCGAGAGCCGGTGCCGACTCTGACACCCTCAATACGGTTGAGGCCCATGAGCTGCGCCACACGAGGGTTGATCTCAGGAGGGCTGGGCATACCGTAACCCTTGACGTACATGTTGTTCAGGGCCTGGATAGCATCCCGCTTGTCACCGAAGTTTCCAGTGGCAGTTCCAAGCTGGCCCATGTATGAGGCGACCTTGGCACCGGTGTCAACCTGCTCGAAGGCCTCCTTGAACTGGGTGATTGTTTCAGCGGCAGGAGAGCTCTCGGAGACATTGGTCATATCGGCAGCAGCGGAGGGCAGGGTGGTGGTATCGATAGCGAGGGGAAGGTTGCGGAGGCGCTTGCGTAGCATATCACGCTCACCCTGGTGCACGAACAACCATCCTTCACCCTCCTTACCGGCACGGCCGGTACGACCGATACGGTGAATGTAGGTCTCACGGTCGCGGGGAACACCGACTTGCACGACGTGGGTCACGTCGGGGAAATCCATACCACGGGCAGTAACGTCAGAGGAGAACAGGATACCCTCGCGGGCCCTGCGGAAGGTGTCTGCGCTGCGGGTACGGGCCTGCTGAGTGAGACGAGAGTTGATTTCAAGCATCGTCAGGTTGGAGAGGTTGGAGTCGCGGAATTCACGGGTGCGGCGGATGTTGTGGAAAACATCGGCCGAGATCTTGGTTTCAGCGGTGGAGTTGAAGTAGACGATAGCCTTGAAGGGACGCAGCTCCTCGCCATCATCCCGGCGGTTTTGCCAGCTCTTAGCAAGGTCCATAACGGCAGGAAGTCCGTTCTCGAGACCGCGGATGTATACCAGCTTCTGGGGAACACGCTCGTGGGTAGGGACCTCATCCTCGCGCACGGTGTTAATGTGCTGGAAACCGGGCTTCAGGGTGTGGTGGACCATCTGCATGACCTCCCTGGGGACGGTGGCAGAGAACATGAGCGTCTGGCGGTCCACTTCGCTAGGCTTGGGAAGCAGCGTTTGAATCTCCTCGATATCGGCGGAGAATCCTTGATCCAAGAGGCGGTCAGCCTCATCCAGGATCAGAGTGTTCAGCTTGGGAGCAGCGACGCCAGTCCAAGGGTCAGACAAGATATCCTTGAGACGACCCGGGGTGCCGATAAGCAAGTGGCAACCCTCGTTCTGAATCTTTTGCAGACCAGCGCGCTTGGCGGTACCACCAACAGCAGTCTGCACGAGGACACCGGTACCAAACGCGACCTTCCTAGCCTCAACAGCGATTTGCTCTGCGAGCTCGCGGGTAGGTGAGATGATGAGGGCACGGATTTCGGAAGGACTGGATCTGCTGCGACGAGCCAGGGCCTTCAGATCAATTGTAGGATCATTCAAGATGTTCTGGAGAGTAGGAACAAGGAAGGCCAGAGTCTTTCCGGTTCCAGTCTTGGCCTGGGCGAGGCTAAAGGGAAAAAAAAAACCGATGTTAGCAGATCATTCAAATTTACGAAGAAACGAGCGGTAGAAACTCACACATCACTGCCCTTGACAATCTCATTCAGAGTGAGCGATTGGACATCGGTCATGGTCTTGATGTTCATCCGGTCCGGCTGGATGATGTTCTTGATGATAGACTGGTTGACGATGCCTTCGGCGCCCAGGTCAGCGAATTCGGTGATACGACGGGGCTCAGTCTGTTCCGCAACAGCCTGTGCGGCTTCAGCGGAGAAGAGAGCGCCAGAAGAGTGCAACGATCTGATGGCAGGCAGAGATGACAGAGTTGCAGGAGCTTGCCATTTCGGCAGCTGAGCAACGTATCGTGCTGAGATGGAACGAGGCGCAGATGCGCGCAACGCACTGGGGACGCCGAATCGGCGAATTGTGCTAAGCATTATGAGATAATGCTGATGGGGAAAAAACGGATGAGGAGAAAGAAGAAATTCCGAATCGCAATCGGGGCGTTCCAGGAGAGCGCAAAAAAATAATCACGGTCACGTGTGCTTATCGATAGCGTTTCCAGGGGCAAATTCGGGCTGTCCACTCTGGTGTTTGTTCGTCTTCATTGCCATTCCGAGGTCATTGGGCATAGTTTCTATCTTTCTGATACCCTTTCCTTTTCGAAAGTACTGTGCACATCTCATCTATTCACCCTGGAATTATCCAAGAGAGTCTGATGTTATTTCGACACAGCGATGCAAACAGAACAAACACCCTTCACAACACGAGAACAACCCGCCAATCAAAGCAAACAGCGCAGAAATCCGAATGTAAACGCGATGGACCTTGGAACTTCTACACAATCCGGTTTTTCAGTGTGATGTCGATATCCTGTTGATCGATATTGGTGGCACTTATATCATACATATGCAACATACCCAAGTGAGCATCCAAAAGAGTATCCAAAACAGTATCCAAAAGAGTATCCAAAAGAGTATCCAAAAGAGTATCCAAAAGAGTATCCAAAAGAGTATCCGAATGGACTCTTCAAGAACAATCAGATGGAAAATTTCTATGGGTCAAACTCATGATTGGGCAAGAGAGGAAAGAGGAAGTAGAGAATGAGTACCTTCTATATTAGTATTTGATGTCTGCAATTGCTTCTAAAATTCAAGTAATTCTGTCAACATTGTAGAAATCTCACATTTATCCAACACTGAATGATTTTCCAACAACTGATACAACCCTGATTCCCCTGAAGCGGCCCAACTTCATTTAGTATTTTGATTACAGACATTGACTGGTTTACCTAGGTACCCTTGAGAGAGATGGAAAGAGAGATAAAGAGATAGGAGAAGGGAGAGGAATGAGACATCGAGAGGAGAGAAAAAGAGAAAGAGTTCAAGTACCGGCAGAAGTGTTGTGTTAAAGGCAAATACAAAAAGTGATACAATCCTATTATCAGGATGAATTCAGGTTCCTGCCCTACTTTCATAGCCTCTTAGGTAGTGACATCAGGGCCAAAGCATCAGGCTCCTTCCATCTTGGTACTCCGTGGCTTCCCATCGCTAGTAGTTCTGTCAACATTGTAAGATTCTCCCTTTCACATATCTTTCAGATTGCCACTTTTACATCCAAAACGCCTTAATCACTCCTGCTTTGCTGGCTACAGTCACAGGTAGGCATTATCCATGTCAGAATATCATATTAGACTCTTTACTGACACGGTCAAGTGGAACCAAAAAACGGCTACTATCTGGATTGAAATTCCCAACAAATGCCTTGATGAGTTTCGGATAATGCAGACCCATATCGCCAGGCTGGTGGAACTTGTCCGCACAAACCTTCGCCCCAACAACCCACAGTGTGGGCTTTGGTACGCCGAGCGAAACCCGCTGCCAGAGTTAGTCAAAGCGCCTCGACGGCCCAAAGCCCCTCGGCTCTTTGATCAAGACGGGAACTATCATACATGGGATTCCCCTGTCAACTTGTTTCTGGACGAGCAGGATCGCGGTGAAAAGGAGCACTACCTGCCACCAACGTTGAACTTGTAGACCCTGAAGACTCATGGGCACCAAATTCATACTCAAAGACGCTCAATCAGCAGCTACTGAAGCGGGCTGACCGTACGCCCGAGTTTTTGGCTTATACAATGTTAGCATTGTTTGAGATCACCTGTTGGATAGCTCTGATGCGGATTTTGGTGAGCTGGGCTATGAAGAAAATCGATGGGCATGCAAGCCCCCTCTATATTTCCTTACGCTGGTCTCATGTCAGACCACAACAATGCCTCCTCGCCAGAAGAAGAAGACGAGGCTATGAAAGGTAATTGAACTGCTCTCGAGGATGATATTACATCACATTCTGCATATAGGCCCCGGGGGCTTCATATCCAATACTCTAGAGCTGTCGTGTTGCCTGATACAATGTCACATGCAGCTGATGCACTTCCATGCCCGCCTTAGGGCTCTGAAGAAAACAAGCTGACTTATTGAAATGCAGAGGTGGTGCAGCCACTGCAAGATGGGTGAGCACACAGATCCACAAAATGTTCGTGATTATTGTTTTCTTGTCGATGACGAGTACAGACTAATGCATCAAACAGCGGCTGCGCCAATCCCGTCGACAAAAATCGAACTAAAAGAAGAAGAAGATCCCTGGGCACCACAGTCCTGCCCCAAAGAGGACAGCACCACGATTATGCTCAGGTGGGCTGAGAAATCCCCAGAAACCTTAGCGTACATGCTCCGGTCATCTCGGAATAAGCTTCATCGGGTGGACTTTACAATCATCCGAGAGAGGACATTGAATCCGATTGCACCTTGAACCTCCTGTTCATGGGCGCCAGCTTCTGGTTCGTTGCAATGAGACTTCTGTATCTCGGGGGTTCGAAGAAAATTGATTGGTATGTTAATTATCTCCATCTTTCTCTAACTATGTATAATACTAATGGCTTTAGTGAAACAATCCAATATGATCCGCAAGATCTTTACCATTGTCCTGCTCTCAGTGTTGACAGGTACATCTTATCCCTATCAAAATATTTTATTAGAGTCCTTACTAACGCATCAAACAGCGGCAGCGCCAGTCCCGGCGAAAACTCCCGAAATACAAGAAATAGATCCCTGGGCACCAAACTCCCATCCGAAAGAGGAGGGCACCGCGATTCTGCTCAGATGGACGGAGCATTCCCCAGAGCTCTTGGCAGCCCTCTTCGGCGTCTTTATGGCGGCCAGCGCTTGGCTGGTCCTCTGCAGACTCTTTCACCTCTGGTGCACAAATAAATTGGCTCGTATGTTAATGATCTCCATTTTTCTCTAACTATGTATAATACTAATGGCTTTAGCGAAACTCCAACTCCCCTCGCAACTCCTACTCCCACTCCCATGATTTCTACCGGTACTGTTACGTGGCGTGGCGCCTAGATTATTAGCTAGGAAGCAACATTAATATCATCATCTTTTTCCACCTCTCTGCTCGCTTACGCGTACGTAGCCTGACATGTACGGTAAGCCCCTTACAGGTACTCCGACCGAGGACATACCTCTCGACTCAGAGGAAAACTCCGGAGATAACCCAGATGTCTGAAGACAAATTACATTGAGGTAAGTGTGTATATACATGGATCATCACTGGACAAAATTTATAAGGACAGCTACTTATTATACATATATACCCATTAAGTATAATGTGAGAATCCTTTCTCTCTCCTTATCTTCTGGATTGAGGGGTGTATGCTAACATATTATATTTTGACAGGTGGGACATTTGCACACGTTTGGACGCATGTTTGTTTTGTTTTTTGTTAATTCAAACTTTAGAAATTGTCAGTATCCTCAAATAAAATTCTATTCTTCTTAATTATATAGATATATTCCTTAAACTAAGAATCTAGTTACAACTTCAAAACCACCAAGATTTAACGTTTTTTGCCATGGCCTTTTTTTTTTTTTTTTTTTTTTTTTTTTTTTTTTTTTTTTTTTATTTTTTTTTTTTTTTTTTTTTTTTTTTTTTTTT